GTGTGTGGTGTGGCGTGACGTGGCGCATGAAACAGAGGCAACTTTGTCGATCTCTAGCCGGGCACATTAACTACGGTGTTTCTCTAGACAGTGTGTGTGTGTGTGTGTGTGTGAGAGAGAGAGAGTGAGTGAGTGTGTGTGTGTGTGTGTGTGTGTGTGTGTGTGTGTGCACGTGTGCAATGGTTGTTGTAGCTTTTGTTGTTGTTGTTGTTATTGTTGTTGTCGTTGTTGGTGGTTTTTGTAGTTTCTAATCGTATTGAAAGACAACAATAACAGCAAGGACGATGGCGACAAAATCAATAACAACGGCATAAGCAATAACAACCCCAACCATCATAACCACCACCACCACCACAACAAGCAACAACAATAATATTGATATATTAATATATCAAATCAACAGCAGCAGCAGAGAGCCCAACAGTAATACGACCACAGACATACACTAACTGTGAGAAAGAGCTAAAGGTTATTTTGGGCCATTTTTGGGGTTTGTTTTATGAAGTGTCAATCACTACAGACTTGAATTAACTCAGATAATAATAATAATAAATGACATTTATATAACGCTCAACCCCGATTAAAATACACAGGCTCTGAGCGCTTTACAATACAGTACAATGTACAACTGTACCATAAACGTTGTGTTATGACAAAAGAAAAATACTCCAAATATTAATCTTATTAATTAAATAAAAAGAAACGCCTTCTGCTGACATTTGAATGAATCAAAAGATTTTATCTCTCTTAAAGTACTTGGTAAAGCATTCCAGATTTTGGGGTCTTGGTATTCAAATGCCCTTTCACTCATTGTTTTAAGTTTCATAGATGGTAAAGTTTTTTTTTTGGCCAGCTGATGACCTTAAACTGCAAAAAGGAATGTACAGTATTAACAGATTTGATAAATAATATGATCGTGCATTATCATTCAAACATTTGTGACATAGGGTAGCCAACTTGTACACAATTCTTTTCTCAACAGGAAGCCAAGAAAGTCCGCAAAAGAGGTTTAGCCATAGAGGTTTAGCAGACACTGTCATGGTCGCCACTCTTTGCTATCTATCAAAACTTAGCTCTGTTGGTGCCCACCATGGGCGGGCGTGCAAATGAAGATATTTCTGCATTGTACAACGCTTAGAACCTTCTTGGGATTGGCGCCATATGTTATTTATTGTATCTTCTTCTTCTTCTTCTTCTTCTTCTTCTTCTTCTTCTTCTTCTTCTTCTTC